TCCCCGTTTTGGAAAATCGAAAAAAGAAAATAGACCGAAAACGGCAAAGAGAACGGCACCTTAGTTTTTTTTTTTTTTTTGAGACTTTGAAGTTGATTGCAATCCGTCGAGAGTGCAAATCATGGCGTTGACTGCAGTGGCAAAGGAGGTGGCTCGTGGTCACAATGGGCACGGTAGGCTTGGTTTGGTTTTAATTTGGGTTTTTAAGTTGAGGGTCGTGGTTTTGGGAAGGAGATAAACTTTTCATTTTGCCTTTCTTTTTTTTCTTTTAATAGAAAAATATGGTTAAAGTCATTTTTTCTGCTCAATTAATAATGATTCGGAAGAAATCTGTTAAGATTTGAGATTCCATTTTAAAAGATTAACCTTATTAAGAAAAATAACTCAAACTCTTATAAATTGATATATGTTTTCTTCTTTATTCGATGTGAGATTTTATTCCTTAACATGCCCCGTCAAGATTGTGGCTCGTTCGAGCAAAGCAATCTTGAAACTCGTGTGATCAATTTTTTTGAGTCTTAATCGGATCAAATTGCTCGTTGGAACTTAATGAACTCTGATACCATGTTAAGATTTGATATTCCATCTTAAAATGTCAACATTATTAAGATGAGTAATCCAAACTCTTATAAATTGATCTATGTTTTCATTTTTATTAGATGTGAGATTTTATCTCTTAACAAAATCCATCCATTTATCTTTCGGACGCACACACTTGAGATGTTTGAAAATAAAAATTAAGGTAAAACTTACAAATATTTGTAAGATTTGAGATATTATCCCTTTTTTCGCACGTGTAAATTTTACATCATAAGTTGTGTCCATCAAAATTTCGGCATTTCAAATTTTTTTGTAGTGATGTGTCAAAATTTTCGGTGTGAAATAATTAAGACTAGACAAAAAATGTGAACTCTAATTGAGCATATGTGCCACACGACATTATTCTCGATTTCTTTGTTGACCTTTTTAAAAGTTATTTTTGTTTAACTTTTTTGAAAGAATAATTTAAAAATGACGTCACGTATCTTCGAAAATCAAGCTGAGTTTGTGACTATTTGAGACGGTACCAATCACGTGCTTGATAAAATAAATTAAGCACTTTATAATGATTAATAAAAAAAATTGGAGAGTCGATCACTATATACATAGTCTTATTTGATATTGATTGAAATTTTAATTTTAATTTAAGTGAAAGTTACCAATTCATTTCGACAATATATTTTATGAATTCCATAAATTTTCAATTCCACAATTTTATTATCTTTTATCGAAATTTACACAAAATTTGATTTTAATATACATCACATATTTTTTTTCAAATGTATATTTCAAGATTAATAGGAAAAAATAAATAAAGAAAATTTCATCCGTAAGAGTATTAGCGACAAAAATTTCTCGGACCGGAATCTGAGCTGTACGCTCAAAAGCAAGCAAGCAACCATTGATGAATTGAACCAACCAACGAACAACCTACGATCTATATGTATGTAGAGCACAAGATCTGAAGATCCTCTTTCCAAGTTTTCAGCCTAGTCAAAATCTTCTCCACCTGTAATTTCCACCCATTTTCTCGGACTCTCTCTAACTTCAATTTTACCAGTTCTTTGATCCCTTTGATCCATTTTCGAATCGGCAC